TGTTCACTTAATCAACCTTTGTATCTGGCCCTCTAGATGGAGAACACCAGGGAATTTCGCAGCCCTCCTCTCCCAGGCAGCTTGGCCTTGCTGATGACATAATATTGTTTATTAAAAAAGAAAGAAAGAGGGTGAAAAAGGCAAAATAATACAAATAGCCCTTGTGTTGTTAGAGAGACGTGACTTGTGGAATCAATGTGATTCCCTGTCGGGCTTTATTAGCTAAATATACCTCTCCTGACATGCATCCCTTTTGACACACACCCTTTGCAGAGAGGCGAGACCGTGTTTCTCATAATATTTTAAAAGTGAGAAATCTCTGAGGACCAAGAATTTGTGCTTTAATCAGAACTGAAGATACTTCAAAACCTCAGCATTTCATAAAATTAAGCACTAGATTTATTTTTTTTGAATGTGCATAAGCTTCTCTCTCTGCTGTGATTTTGGAAATAAATGCCTGTGATGGGCAGAGTATGTGCCATTGCAGCGTGAGGTGAGAAATATCATCTGAAACCTTTATGCCAGTCTTAAAAAAAACCTGATCACCTCCTCACTGCATCAGCTTCCTGTGCTGATGGACAAGTGGAACAGTGCTGGTCCTGGGGGGGTTATTCCCTTTGGGATGACCAGGGGTGGGTGAAGCCAGGAGATTTTCTTGCCCGCATTCATCAGTGTTTTGTGTGGCAGAATGAACTTTGCCTTTTAAGTCTGGAGCTACAACAACCAGGAGTGAATTGCTGAGCAGAGGGATGTTACTGGGTGTGCACAGGATTAGTGCCATGTTTGTGGTCCCAGCTCATCGTGTGCAAACCCAGAGCTGCTTTGTTCCCATAACACTTTTGTACCAAACAGTGTGTTACAGAGCATGGATGTGATTTAGGAAAACGTGTTTGATAATATCTGGGCATAGAGGATGCCAGTAAAGGACTCATTTGATGTACTGCCCTAGGAGTGTGTGCTGATGTCACTGTGGCAGTTTAGCTTTATCCACTGAACTTCTCCAGGCCTGGAGCCCAAGTTTATATAGGACGGAAGGTCAGGATCATCCTCTGGGAGTCACTGAGCAGCTGGTCAGGCCTGTGGCTCGTGTTTAAGGGCAGCACAGAGCAAAGTCGTGCAACATGCAGCACTGCAGTGGGTTAGACAAAAACAGCCTTGATTTTACTGCACATCTTGTTGAAGAAGTTAAAGCCACATCTGTGTGTTACAGGCATTAAACAGATAGAAGTAGATACCTTTATACTATATGTATGTATGTTATATTCTGAAAAATTGGAGGATCCTTTTAAACATTTTGAATTTCCTAGAAGCAAATTAAATAGTAGAGCAAAGCACAGCCAGCTCTTTTCAGCCTTTAACTTGGCCTCATTCCTGACACATGTTCATTAAAGTGTGAAACAGGCAGTTTATGCTCACTGACATTCTACAAAAAATCTAAATATATATGTAAAATTCTGTGGAAATTAGTGATTTTTATCTGTATGAAGGAGTAAGTATTAAATTAAGGAAGTGCAGTGTGGTTGTTCCAAAATTTATTCTGCTGTATGAGTTCCCAGTTGGGAATAGGAGTTTTAGTTGATACAGTCAGTAATAAATGAGGCTGCAGAATTAATAATTGAAGACAGAGAAATTAAATTAAAGAAAAAAGCCAAGGCTTTGTCCTTTGTCTTAATCACAGTTTCCTAAATATTTTGGAGAATGTAGCAGTAACATTATTTACTAAAAAATCTAAAAATAAACATTGTTTAAGTCTCTCAAATTCTCTTCCTGTTTCTTGAACATTTACATTTTTTCCAAACATTGCCTTTATATTTGAAAGCTTTGTTAGAACTTGTGGGAAAGGGCTTTCCCTTGGTTGTGACTCATCCATATAAGATAATTTTATGAATATATTGAAATACTTAAGTGATGGGGGAAGGACATTTGGGGACATATTTAGTCAAACCCTCAAAGGTAAACTGAGCCTTTCGACCATAGTTCTCTCTGTGTTTCCTTGTTTGCCTGGGGTTAAAAATAGATTTTAACCAAAAATACGATTATTTAAAAATTACATCTAGAATAATAAAAACTGTCATGGTCACCAAGTGCACAAAAATGAAATGCACTTGCCAAACTTTAATTATTGGCTCATTAAACTTACAGATGGTTTAGTGAAATCAGCTGTTGAAGAGTTCCAGGAGCTGAGTGACACAAACCAAGGGATTTACAAATCTCTGCCTCTCAAAGAGCTGCCAAAAGGTCCTGGGGATGTCTTTATGAGTTATTGATTAAAATCACAAAATGTCAAGAAATGTGAATCCTGGGATGCCAAATTTCCATTTTTATTTTTTCCCTTGTGATTTTAATAGTGAAACTAATTTTTTGATCAACAGATTATTTTAAGGAAATGAAAACATAGAAGGAGCTGACAAGTCTGGGCTCCACCACTCATTTAACCATCAATGGGATGGTTTACAGTTTTCATAACTACAATATGAGTTCAGCAAACTCTGTCAGAGAAGTTCTTATTTCTATGATCTTGTGGGATTTTCTACAGATGTTTCAGGGTTGAGAACTCAAAATTGTCTATAGTTACAGTTCATTGAGAGTAATTTGTTGGGGACTGTTAAAATAGTATTAGAGATTCAAACGGGGGCCTGGGAGAAATAAATCTGACTTTAAATGTTTTACATATAATTCTGTTTTCTGACAATTATATGTGAATATAATTTTTCTTTTATAATAATAATAATTTGCCTTATAATTTTTTCTTTCCATCTTTTTTTCTTGTTTATTTTTAAATTAAGTGCTGTGGACATAAAGATGAGGTACATCTGCAGTCCTGAAGTTTGACAGGGCTATTTAATTGTTGATTATTACCTTTTTAAAAGTTTTTTCCTTCTCTGCTTTCTAAAATAATTCCAAACCTCTAAATGCATTTTGCTAATTTAACAAAAAACATAAATTAAATACAAAATGAAAATAAAAATGCCTGGTCAGGACCTCTAGGAAGAATATATGCAGTGGACTTGGCAGTGCTGGGTTAATGGTTGGACTCAGTGGTCTTAGAGGTCTTTCCCAACCTTAATGATTCCAGGATTATGAAACCTTTACTGCTTTTCCACCACCTTTATCCATTGAATTCTACCTGGAAGTGCTTGGTTGGTTTCCAGCTGGATTTGTGGTGCTGGGGGGTGCTCCCACTGCTCTCTGACACTTCCAGAGAATCCTAAAACCAGCCCATCGGGAGTGTGAAACGGTGATCTGGCCTCGGGTGTGGCAAAAGCATTCCTAACCTCAGGAAAAGCAGTGCAGGAGCAGTTGGTGTTGGATCTGATTCAGCGGATACCAAGTGCCCCAGCTCTCCGTCAGCACCACCCCGGCCTCGACTCACTGAGCCAAGCCCTGATGCTGCCAAGTGCTCGTGGACAGGATCAGATGGGAGAGCTTGGGAAGCTGAACATTTCTCATCACCATCCCACAGACAGCTTTTCCTGTGTCCCTCCAGGGATGACCCAGCTGCTTCCTTGGCAGTGAATGAAGGGAGGATCAAGCAGGTTTTGGGAGAACTCTAAGGAAGGAAAAGAACAGAGCTGGAGAAAGACTTTGGACAAGGGCCTGGAGTGACAGGATGAGGGAGATGGCTTCAAACTGACAGAGGACAGGATTGGATTGGATAAATGAAAGAAATTGTTCCCTGTGAGGGTGGGGAGGCCCTGGCACAGGTTGCCCAGAGAAGCTCTGGCTGCCCCTGGATCCCTGGAAGTGTCCAAGGCCAGGTTGGACGGGGCTTGGAGCAACCTGGGCTGGTGGAAGGTGTCCCTGCCCATGGCAGAGGGTGGCACTGGATGGACTTTAAGGTCCCTTCCAACCCAAAGCATCCTGTGAATCTGTTATTCTGAGTGGATTAACAGCATCAATTAAACATGAATGAAACTTCAAAACTACGTGTATGTAACATACTTACTGCCTAAAATGAGGCAAAAAATGAACACAGAGTGTTACTCCTGAAAAAGCAGAGGATGCCCACATGGAAATGGTGGTGGTGGTACTTGAGCAATTAATTCAGCAATTAACCTTAACCAAATGTGCCTGGGCTGCTCCTGAGGTACTTGCAGTGAGATCGTTACACAAGGTCTCCACTTTGTGTTGACACAGATTTGTTTACCCTTGCTGGGTAAAAACCTTGACATGCACATTTTTGAGATGGTGCCCTAAATGTCTTGTGTTGACATTCATCTTCTGTAAACTGTTTAAAGGCTTGGGATGTCATACCTGCTGGATCTCTTGGGGTAGGTGTGAGTAACCGTAGGGTGAATACATTTGTCCCTTCGAATTGCTCCGTCAGTGGGAGAACTGGATTAATGCTCCATGTGTAACATTTTCTGACCTGTTGAGCTTGATCCCACACTGAGAGGTGCAGGATTGTGGCAGATGTAGAAATAAGCATGTAAAACATTTTCTGGCATGGTGTTCTTTGAGAAATTGTGTCACAGACTCCAGCACATTGACTTGCTGATACCTCGTATGAGTCATATGTTCTGCTCTTCATGTTTGTGCCTATATATATTAAAATATATATATATATATATATATACACACACACACAAATTGTCTTTCTAAGGCAGCACTATGAGAATCAGCAATGGTCTAATGCATAAGCTTTCCAGAAAATATTATAATTTCTCTTAGGTTTTTGGTGTTTGCTTGAGTTTTGTTTCTCTCCTCACTGACATCCTGACAGGCTGAGCCAGAATCATTTCTCACTGTGCAGGTATAGAAGGATAAAATCCATTCCCAGGTTGCAATCCTTTATGCTGCCCTGCCTGGGATTCCTTGGATGGGCTTTAGTCTCTGTTAGTTTTACAAGGCGCAGGGTTAGAGATCTGATTTTAAGGAGGATGGTTTTGAGCTAATGTGAATATTGGTGGCTTGGGATGCACCCAGTAAATTATAAACCCAGTAAAAGAGTGTGGCTGCACGTTCCCAGGGCTTACTGTGTTCCCTGTGTTTAATTACAGACCTCCAAAGAGGACCTTCTACAAGCTGATTTTGAAGGAGCTTTAAAATTCTTCAGGGTTCAGTTGCCCAAGAGGTACCGAGCTGAGGAGAACGCCCGGAGACTCATGGAACAAGCCTGCAACATTAAGGTAAGGGTGGACCTTACTGCTGCTCCTTTGCCCAGGGTTCCTGCAGGAAACTGTGGAAAATAAAGATGTCAAATCATTAGCTTATTACTTTTTATATATGTTTGTGTGCATACCTTTTATCTTTGAACAAAGTGAATCTCTGACCTTTCCCTCTGTCTGCTTGGGCACAACCTAATAATTTAAACAGAAAAATGATGTGTTATCAACAAACATTCATAAGAATTCACTAATTCATTAATTGATTTATAAGCAGTGATTACACTAAACCAATTAATCACTGTATTATAATCATGCAACCAAAGCTCAGATATGATTTGTTTTGCTCAAAAGCTATTTGCCAAGTGCTGCTGTATAATACAGTTGAATTGGGGTTTGTATATCAAGCTTACCAAGACAACTTTACCCTACCCAAGGCTGTCTGTCTGTCAAAAGTCAGGCTTCTCTGAACATGTGGACCAGAACTATTGGACTTGTCAAGAACCAAATTCGAGGAGCCTGACTGTAAGTTTTGAGGGTGGGAATCTGTTTAAAATGGCTGTAGAGGTTCATAAAGCCATCATTTGAAAGATCTAGGATTTTTTTTTGTTGGAATACGTAGAGCTGTGGATGGACTTAATGTTTGATCTTCGAGAAAAGTGTTTTTTCTCCTTCTTGGAGTGTGAGCACTGATGAGAAATGCATGTTTGGTGTGGTCCAGTAATGCACTGAGAACATCTCACCAGGAAGAATGTTCCTCTAACTCTGCCTCTTTTTATCTCTCAATTCATTAATTTCCTTTGTGCTGCTTAATTTCATCATTTATTAATCAAGGGCTTTTTCCCTTCTGGTTAAAACACTGATCTTATGAAAGAATGGGCCTTGATTCCAGCCAGGAAAAAGAAGATCTGTGCAAAGGTTTTAGTAAAATTGAACTTGGATTTCAACTCTGCTGCTGAAAGGAATTTTTGGGAGTACAAGGCTGCAGTTTCATGTTTAGTATTTAGTGCTCTGCTTGGCTGTTAAAAATGAGTAGTTTAAGGACTTACCCAATGCAGGAGAATTATCTTTATGTCCTTTACTCCGTGTGTATTTTTCTGATGGGCGGTTAAAATAGAAGTTCTCGTGGTACTTTTTGGAAGAGATATTTGCAATTTTCTCATGCCTGCCTTTCTCTTTTTCTCATGCAATATATTCTGTGCCACATGCTGTTATTTGTCATTAATTTTTCAGTCAGTACTGGGTACATGTGTTTGTGATGTGCTTTGCTGGGAAAGTGTTTTGAGATGCACAGAGCAAAGGGGGTGAGTTCAGCACCTGGGGCCTGTTAAAAGCAGAGACTAAATTTCTGAGCTGTGTGACGTGAAGGGAAGGCAGCTGAAAGGTTTGACTGTGAATCCACTGCATACACAGGATCTCACACATTTTGGATTCTGGTGTTTAAAAGAAAAGCTCAGGTGAGTGCAGCAGACATGGAGTCAGGGCACTCCCTTGTGTATTAGAGGATTAGTGGGAATTATTGAAAAGCAGGGAGAATTCAGAGCCAAGACCTGGGTTATCAGGGATAAGAAAAAGTTGAAGATTGAAGTCACCTTCCACTGTGTTAGTAACGCCCTGCTCTGGTGTAATTAGGGAGCTCGGCTCTGCTCACTCGCTGAGCACACAGCTCATCCCTCATTCACTGTGAGACATAGCAGGGGATCTGAACTGTGTCCTGAGCATCTTGTGATGGTTAAGAACATCTGAGCTCATGGAGGGGGGTGTTCTGAAGCCCAGGTTGTTGTCAGGATTAATGTCATAGTCAGGAAAGATACTCCAAAGACTCTGAACACAGGTGGTGAGGTATTTAAAAGAAAACACAAAAAGCTTCAGGAACTTAATGGGAGGAAATTCAGTGCAAGACCCTGTTGGAGGGAGGGTGATGTTCATTTTAAATGATTCTGTGTTCACTCACTTGCACTCCCTCTGTCCCAGGTGCCCTCATCCCCATGGCCTCATGCTCCCTGACACCGGCGTTACTGGTGTGGGACGAGGGTGAGGGACAGTGGCTGCAGATTTCCTTGTAATTGGTGACAATAAACTGGCTTTTGGACACAATTTCTGTACTGTTTGAGAGGGACAGGAACACGCTGCCCAAAGCAGTTGTGGAATCTCTGTTGGAAGACAGAGTGCTCTGAGCCAGCTGCTGGTGGTCACTGCCTGCGGGGGGTGCTTTAGACAAGATGTTCTCCAAAGGTCACTTCCAACCTCAACTACCGTGTGATTCTACAATTGGATGTTGTAACCATGGGATTTATTTACCAACAGGTGCTAATAATTGCAGGAGTTGTCATGCTCACACAGGAAATTACAGTCTTGATAACCATCACTGCCAAAGTCCCAGGGAATGCAGAGGTTGGATGAAGAGCAGTTGCCTGTCTTGTTGAATGCAACAAAACTTGTTCTGTTCAAAAACACCCAAACCAGGCCCTTAACTATGCTTTTTTGTGCTGCATGAATGTGGCACTGTGAGTCTTTCCACTGTTTCTGGGCTATATTAGTATTTATAGGCTAAACACCAGATGTTTTTAGAGCAAATATCACACAGTTAAGTGCCAGGGAGGATTTTCTTTGGGTTTCTAAGCTAATTACAGAGGCACAAAAATGTGAAAACAGAACTGTGGTGTGGCCAGGTTTCATAGCCTTGTTATATCTTTTCCAGTGTTTATTTTGTTCCTGCATTACTGCAAAACAAAACAGGAGTTTATCATGTACTTAAAATCCATCTCTCCTTGCTTCCTTTTTTTACCTTGAGCTCTAGCTGAGCTACATAAAGTTCCAGAGGAGGCAAATTTAAAACTAGTTGGTGTTTTTTCTCAAGTAATTTCGTAAGTTTTTCTGTGTGTCTGGAAGCCCAATTTGATAAATGAATGAATGAATGAAGAAAAAGCCTATTTTAGGTTAATGAAGGTTGATCTTAATGGTGCTATTTTATGAAAACAGCCGACAGATTCTACACACTCCCCAAATCTGCCTCAGTTGCCTTTTGATCTGGTAATGCAGTTTCTCTTGTAGAGATCCATGTGTCCTAAAGAAGTTGTAATGGTGTTGGATTTTAATGGAAGAGTGTCAGCTCTGTTCTTGCACTGACTTCAGGCAGGTGAGGTGTAGAATGGGAGAAAGTCACTGGGAGACTTTCTCCCTATGAAAATTCCCTGGGTTGCCAGTTGTCAGGTGGAATCAGGGAGTTGTGCCTGTTTCTCTGGGACATTTGGAAATGTAGCAGAGCTGACATTTAGAATGTGTTCCATTGCAGCCTGGGAATGCCCTGAGGTTGAGTGTAGCAGACAGGTAGGTGGGAGATCCTAGGAAGTTCCCTGTGGGGTGTTCCTGTTGTGCCCAGAGAAGGTGGGGGAACACATGGGGTGGGATACACAGGAACCTGCAGGGAGGGTTGTTCTGTTATGGGGCAGCATCTGTAATCCCACCTTCTCTTACCTGGCTCAGAGACTCCTGGCCTCATCTTTCACCATCAACAGTGGCAGGAAAGACCTGGAATGTTGAAGTTCTTCTATGAGAAGCTCCTCCCTAACCCTGTAAATCCCCCCTCTGTGGAGGAAATCAGGCTCCCCAGCAGCATTGAGACCACTGCTCTCAGCACCTTCATTGAGAGGAGCAAATGGCCCTGAGAAAAAACGGTGCCTTTTTCCAATGCAAAGCAAACATACACATTTTAGTCACCTGTTACTGTACTGACAAAGGGTGGGGATCCCCCCTGGGTGCAGCCACAGCTGGAGCTGGCACCAGGACCGTGGGGAGTGAACTGGCTACGGCAGCGGGAGCTGTGCCAAGCTTTCTCTCATCCCAGAATTGTTCTTTGAGTGATTTAAAGCAGATTTACTTTATAATGTTGCTGTTTAAATGTTTGTAATTCAGAGTGGTGGTTTGAAGCTCACACCTTCCTGATGTGGGTGACTGGCTTCATTCACACCTCTGGAAGTGGTTTTTTGCAGGCATGGTTTAACAGGGAATTAGGTATTGATTTATGTGAGTTTCAATGCACAGGAGTAAAAATAGCTGGCTTGCTCTCTCCTCTCTAGAGCATTCTCTCTCTTTGTGCTTATCTGTATATATGTGTAGTTATCCAAGTACTTGGGGGTTTTGCTGTCATAAGTCAACACAAATGCAGCAGAAAAGCAAAGGAGGGATCTGCAGAAAGGCCCTGAGACTGTACAAGCCTTTTATTCCTTTGGTTCTACTGATGGTGTATCTGATTAATCTTCCAATATAAAGAACAGGGGAAAAATTGCTCATTTATCAACTTCTCAAGAAAAGGCCAAAGCAAATTGAAAAGGGTTGGGTTGGGACCTGTAGAAGCCCCTGCCGTGGGTATGATTCCTTATGAAAGCCAGTGATCAGTTCCCCTTCTTCCATTATCTCCGAGGTGCAGATCCAATTGTCCTTGTGAGGAGGGTCGTGGTTTTTAATGCCTGTTCTCTTTGCAGCTCCAGCTCCCTTAGTTCTGCTCAGCTTTGTGGTGTGGGGCAGCACTTGGAAATCAGATGAGAGTGCCTGAAGAGGGGTTGGATGTTAAATATTTTTGTAAGCTTGGTAATAAGTGTTAACAGGGTAGAAAGGGATGTTGTTAATTTAAAACAACAGTTTCAGCTTGGAATGCTTATTTATTTAAACTTATAATTGTTATTATTCCAGTGAGCAGGCATGTTGCCCAGTAGTGATGTTATATTTTCATGGTGTTTAAGCATTAGTAAAACTGTTCAGTTGTTTTATTTTTTTTGTTTTGTTTGGTCTTTTTTGTGCTGAGTTGACGCATCAGGTATATTGATAATTTTTCATCAGTAGGAAAGGAATGGGATTTTGCTATTGATAGCTAAATATAATCACATTTTAACCATCTAAATTAGCTTTTCAACCTGAGTACAAATATTGTGATGTCCTTATAGTAGTCACTTGTTGGCATATATAGTAAGTAATGACATCCACAAGAGCAGTGTGAAGGTAAGGATCTTTAAAATAAAAGTTTA